TTATTTTTACTTATTCGTGTTATTTTTTTTTTATTTACTTATTTTTCAATTTTAATTAAATACCATGTGCACTTTCGTTCTACACTGTTTATTATTTTATATATATGTACACACGTATGTGTCAAAAGACTCCGCGAACTCATAGATTTATGGCTCCTGCACACAGGACGCGGTAATGCTTGCCGCGCGGCGGAAGTCCGCGCGACAGCCAATAATATGTTGTTTTTCCGTAAGAGCTAAAAAGTTATTACGGAAAGCAGCATATTGATTGGCTGTCGCACGAACTTCTGCCGCGCGGCAAGCATTACCGCGTCTTGTGTGCAGAAGCCATTACTACTTCAATAGTGTCGCCAATTCACAGAATTAATGTTCCACTACCCAGAAGTTTTCGTTGGTACCAACATATTCCCCATTTAGTTTTCGGGATAATGGCCGGCATTTATAGTCGAATCTTATGGCTCCTGCCCACAAGACGCACAAAGCTTGCCACGCGGCAGAAGTTCGTGCAATAGCCAATCAATATGTTGTTTTTCTGTGAGAACTACAAGGTTATTACGGAAAGCAGCATATTGATTGGCTATCGCACAAACTTCCGCCGCGCGGCAAACGTTCTGTGTGCAGGAGCCATTATTTCAAAACCAGTGTTCTGTTTTTTTTCAGCTGCACTGCTGAACTGGTACAATAAGTTAAAGTGAGATAAGTATATGACTAATGGCTCGTGCATACAGGACGCGGTAATGCTTGCCGGGAGCGTCCCGATTGACCACGGGAGCGGTGCACTTGGACACGGTGCATTTGGACACAGCCAATCACAGCACCGTGTGATTAGAGACATTTGTAGGGTCCCTTGGAACAGCGACTTGTGATTGGACTATGTCCAATTGCCCCGTGTCCAACTGATATACGCCCATTGACCACGGTACAATTGGACACAAGCAACCGATGAAAAGAATTATCTAGTGAATTACTAGGTCGAACCAATCATTACAATCTGTGTCCAATCGTATCATGGACAATCAGGTCCCACCTATGCTTGCCGCGCGGCAGAAGTTCGCGCGACAGTCAATCAATATGCTGCTTTCCGTAATAACCTTCTAGCTCTTACGGAAAAACAACATATTGATTGGCTGTCGCGCGGATTTCCGCCGCGCGGCAAGCATTACCACATTCTGTATGCAGAAGCCATAAGTTTACACGGCAACTTAAAATCGATTTAGTAACTACCGTAGTTTATTTTGATTTCGGCGATGTATATGAACAATGTCATATTGAAATAGTGCAATATTGATTAGAAACACGTATCGTATTAATTGAATATATTGCATCGCCGAAATTAAAATAATTAGATATAAAGTTATTAATTGATACGCGTACTAAACGTTCGGTATAAACATACTATATGAGATTAAACTTATTAATAACTAACATTTTTTGAAAATCAACTACCTGATGCTCATGTTATCCGCTATGCTATTCTAGCTAACTCTAACTAACTCGAGCATCGGAAAGCATACTGAGTTGTCTTAAACTATGAAGATACTAGATAATTGTGCCTATTACATTTTTCGATCCTAATGGAACTAACTCGTACGGGAGCGGTGCACTGGGACACGGTGCATTTGGACACAGCCAATCACAGCACCGTGTGATTAGAGACATTTGTAGGGTCCCTTGGAACAGCGACTTGTGATTGGACTGTGTCCAATTGCCCCGTGTCCAACTGATATATATTCAACTCGTACTCGATTTAACGTAAACACCATGGCTTTAGCCATGGTGGAAATATACAAGGTGAAACGTTCTGCTAAATGCGCAGTAGCTACCAATCAGAAAGTTGTCCAAAAGTGGAAAACTCAATGGCTATCTTCATCAGACATCAAGTTAGATTAATATATTTTTAGGCAACTTTCTGATTAGTTCTACTTCCACCTCCATGATGCGCAGCGCAACATCTTAAGCCAACGGCACACGATGCTTGTTTCGTGCTGGATTGCTTGCTGAATGGAAATACTCTTTTCTGGGCCTATATTCTTGAAATTTTTGCGTATACGTAATTTTCATTGCGCAGCTATTTTATGGTATAATTAAACCTGCGCAATAAAACTTACGTATACACAACTATTTCAAGAATAAGGGTCCTAATTGATGCATTTCTGAAGATAGATAAAAATGCACCAATCAAAACAGAGTATTTCTATCCAGCAAGTAATTCAGCACGAAAACAAGCACCGTGTGCCGCTGGCTTTAGCGACAAAAATTATATTAAATTGATCGATTCTGTTAAAAAAAGTATCGATTTCAAAAAGAATCTAGTATTTTAAAGGATCGATTATTTGCGAATCAATTACGAAAAATATAATCGATTCTTATATAATCGATTCATAATCAGGCATCTCTAATAACCAGTCTCTATTCAGGAGTCTCTACATGGAGCCAGAAAACAGAACATAACTAACGTTGACGATGTAAACCAGGCCTATGAAAAACATAACCTTCTTTATACACATATGTGGTATAAAAAATCAATAATTAATCAATCAATTTGTTAAAATCACAAGCAAATTGTTTATAAAAAAAAATTTTTTAGTACAAATATAACATTTTTCTTCTCCATTTGCGATGATTTTACATCACCATGTTTTTAGCTTTTTTTTAAGGATATTTCAAACTATGCATAACATAATACTCTTATTTATATTTATGAAAAGTAAATTGCTCTTTTCCCTGACCATAGTATTTCTGTTCTTTTCAGCTACATTACTGAACTGGTGTAATAAGTTAGAGTGAGAAAAAATATATTTGTCTCACTTTAACTTATTACACCAGTTCAGCTGTATAGCTGAAAAGAACAGACCAAGAATGTCACGTATAAGGGCTATCGCACACAAATTGACATAACTGCATATGGGGTGCGTTCGAAAACACTGAAAGTCCACGACGAAAAGTGGCTGTGGTGGATGGGCTTGGTGGGGTTAGTGGAGTTGGTATCGAGAGGAGTTTTCGAACAGCCATGGAAGAATGCTCAATGTGACATACTACATGTGTGTTGTGCCTACATATGTTGTACAAAATGATCGAAAGCGTATTTCGACATTAGCTATAATTGCTTCTCAGCAAAATAATAATAAATTAATAAATTTAGTAATTAATTAATTAATTAATTTAGTAATTATTAATTTATAATTTAGTTATCTGGAAAGTTAATTGGCTATATATTCCTCGGTCCGAGAACTCGGATCGATTTCTAGCATCGTGGGCACCAGGCCTAAGGAAATTTATAAACTTATTTATTACTCCTTACCTTTAACATCGTATATATAGACATTTCCCTTGTCATCCTTTTGTATATTTTTTTTAATATCCATGCATAAAATATGACGACCCGGGATTAAATTTTCCATTTTTTTTCACAAATTGTTACTGATTCGTGACTTTTAACGTGCCTCGTATCTCGTAAGAAAATTTCAGAACCTATAAAATACAAAAAGCTTAATAAGCTTTATTTATATTTAAAGACAATATTCTGACAATATACATCACTATAGAAATAAACCTAAACCTGGCTAACCTACACTGCTGTATTTAAATTTTTTATCTTACCGTGATGGCTAATGGTTGTACGAATGTTTCGAAGAACAAAAAACCATAAATAATTTAGTAATTTCATACTGTATTGCACTCTTTGCGCACTCTCCACCATCTCCACCGATTCACACCGCGCAAAAGAGAGTGGAGAAAAGTCACACGAGTGGTCCACGGAGTACGGTTTTCGAACGGTCATGGTCGTATGGTTAATGTGCCCACTAGGGGTTTTCGAACGATCTGAGTGTGACAAAATACACACGGGTGATGTTTTCGAACGCACATATGCATAGCATAAGATCGTATGGACCAATGAGCATCGAATATTAAGCATCGAACACCAATATGGCGACTTAATACTCGATGCTCATTGGTACATATGGTCTTATGCTATGCATATGCAGTTATGTCAATTTGTGTGCGATAGTCCTAAATATAAGGCCTGTTCTTTATAGCTGCACTGCTGAACTAGTGCAATAAGTTAGAGTGAGAAAACTTATATTTGTTTCACTTCAATATATTGCACCAGTTCAGCAGTGCAGCTACAAAGAACAGGTCTATTGTACTCTCCTCGTGTTTGCTACATAACCTTAATATAACATTGTATTTATATCGGAATACTTCCAATTTAATTACCATAAAAAAGATCGTGTTTGCATCATTTCATTTTTGGAATACTATGGTCAGGGAAAAGAGCAATTTACTTTTCATAAATATAAATAAGAGTATTATGTTATGCATAGTTTGAAATATCCTTAAAAAAAGCTAAAAACATGGTGATGTAAAATCATCGCAAATGGAGAAGAAAAATGTTATATTTGTACTAAAATATTTTTTTTTATAAACAATTTGCTTGTGATTTTAACAAATTGATTGATTAATTATTGATTTTTTATTTTCTATTTTGATATATAATTTTATTTGATACCATTATACAACTTAGCATGAATGCACAAACTTATAAATTATTAATCACCTCATCACGATTTTATGAATAAAATATATATATAAATATAGATAATAATATGACTATCTAACTAGAAAATGGTACAATATTTGATAATGGATAAAAGTAACTAAGAATAGTTACTTGATTTTTATAATGATTTCATAAAATATATAGTAATTTATAAATTATATTTTTCAATTATATTTTTCAAATTAATATTAAGATTACAAAAAAAGCTTAGATTGAAGGATATATATATATTGTTTTTCAAGAACTACTTACAATCTAAATATTGTGTTTATTAAGTATAAAAAGTTTATTGCACATAAAGTAACTTCTTTTTTTGAAAACATAATATATAAATAATGCTTATTTTAAATGCGATGTATTTATGTACTTTTATATAATGTAATCTTATATTTATAATATAGATTGTAAATTACCTTATACAATCTATGCAAAGTAATAGATGATGAACAAGCTTACAACAAAACAATTACAAAGGATAGAAAAGAAGAAAAGAAAGATAGAAGCATTTTTAGAAATTGCAAAGCTCAACGACAAGGATAAGGAAGCAAAATTACAGTCTCAGAAAGAGGTTGATAAAAATAAAAGTGGCATAAAAACTGTTTAAGGTAAAACTTGCAATTGTAAAATTATAAAATTGTTTTCAGACATCAGTTATCAATAATGTATCCAGTGAACAGAATGAAATAAATCTGGCTGGAGAAGATTCCAATAAACAGTTTTGTAATATGGATATAGATAATGTAAACAAGCTGGCTTATGTTAGAGATGAAGGAGATTCTGAAGCAATAGAGGAATCAGAATTACAAGCAAATAAAAAACCTAGGTATTTTATATCAATTAACATAGAGCTTATCTTCTTGTTACCAAGTGTAATAAATTAATTTATATATAATATATAATAAATTAGTTACAATGCTTGTGTACTGCTTGTCTAGATTAAGTGGCAAAGAATATGCATTCTTAAAACAAGAGCTTAGGGAACGTAAAAAAAGACTTTCAGCAATTCCAAGGCTTATTCTTACATCAGGTGGTGAAAATGCTACTATAGAGGTAAGTCAATTGGGAAAGAGGATACCAATATTTCTCAGCGACATACAGCATCTTCTGCTATATTCATTACTCGGGAATAACTCTCCCTACTTACCAAAAAGATGGTGTAACTTGGAGAAGTATAATAAGGTAATAATGGCTATTGTATCATATTTTTAGGCATTTCTTCAGAGAAAATTTAAATCATGTTGAATGATTCAAGATATCCCTTTTCCACAGGTGACACATACTGTAGTTCTTGTGATCGAAGGATTATCATTGTATCATTTTATGGCGCATGAGAGCATGCTTCCACATATAACAAACAATTTGAAGTACCAGTTGGAAGTAGTAACGCCTGCTATCTATGGAGCATCTATAACAGAAGAACTTGCAGCTGTCCCTTTAACAGGAACACAGAGTTCTAAATTAATCAAACGTATGTATTTATATACTTGCCTCACATTTAGAGTAGCTAGTGACAAATTAGCAGTTAAAAATAAAATTTAAAAAATTATAATTTTCAATTTATAAAGTCAATTAAGATATCTTAATTAATCTAACTTACCTCAATTTTAATTAAGTTAATTTCAAGTGAGTTAACTTTTACCTTAAACTAATTATTTTGAAATGCATTAACGTTAATTTATTAATTTTTCTGTATAAGTTAGAATAATTCATAAATATTAAAATTATTGCAATCAATGTAAAAGAAGAAAACTAAAAAATAATAACAATAAAACTTCTTTTTTTTTTGAGTGCATAATTAATTTTTAACTTTAATAAGTTAATTTTAACTTAACTTTTAATTAAGTTTTTGTTTATATAATTTTTAACGTAACTAAGTTACAAGCTATTAACTTTACAAGCTATTAACTTTTAACTTAATTTATTTTAAAAAATTATTATCTAACTCTGTATTTTTATTTATACAGATCTTCACATGTATGTACAAATGTGACATATCTCTGATATTTCTATAAATTTTCAGGATATGGTTCTTTGGAAGCTGCTTTCCAGACAACCGGAAATGTCATAAAATTATTAAAAACCGTATTCCCGGTGCATTCAGTAAACAGTAATAACATGGAAAATAAAACTTGCAAAAATTTACCGCAAACTGACAAATTTTGCAGAACAAAACTACTCTTGTCATTATGGCAAATGGTGGAAGAAAATTATCCTGTACCTCTGAAAGGAATTTTAGCAAAAAAGTAAAGGTTTTGTTACGATTATATTACATAAATTATATTGTCAAGGAAAACTCATAGTTATTGATATATTTCAGATACGATTCATATATATTGACCAAGGACTCTTACGAAGAAGCTACAGCAATGTCACCAATGTTTGCCTTAGATTGTGAAATGTGTAGGACAACGAGCGGTAATCTGGAACTTACTAGAATTAGTGTTGTGGACGAGAAAATGAATGTAAGTGTAATGTTATGTGTGCTGCATTATGGAAAAACGTATATGTCAAACGATTTTAACTTTAATTACAGATTATTTATGATAGCCTAGTGAAACCGGAAAATACGATAACGAACTATCTGACTCGCTACAGTGGTATTACCAAAGAAATGTTGGAGGATGTTACGGTTAAATTAAGCGACGTACAGTGTATGTTAAGAAAAATATTTCCGCCGGACGCGATTCTCGTAGGACAAAGTTTGAATTCTGATCTACATACGTTAAAAATGATGCATCCTTATATTATTGACACCTCCGTGATATTCAACGTAACTGGCGACAGGTATTTGTTATTTACTATAAATATGCATGCAATTATGCAAATATACAGTATATTCAGTACTGTATTATACAATTATAATTATATCGAGTTAAGTCATAAATAAAGCTTTTATCTCTTTTTCTTTATTTTCCTATACAATATCTCTTATAATAAAGTTAAACATTAACATTGCAATAAAGTTAAACATTTATCAGTATTAACTCTTTGCGGTCTGCGCAACTTTCACAGTTTTGTTTCAGTTTCTGGTCCGCGCTAAACGCGCAGACTCGACGTGATGTCGAGTCACACTCAACATAGGACCGCAAAAGGTTAATAATTATTCGTTCCCATTTTAAAGGCAATTTATTAATTTATTAATCTTTTTTACACACGTGTTAAGAAAAAAAAGCTTATAGTTACCTTGCTATAAGCAAAATATAAGCTTTACATTAATAGTAGTCTCTTCGATATCTAACTAGGTATAGGAAAACAAAACTACAGATTTTGGCACAACAATTTCTTGGAGAAACAATTCAGGCTAATAAAGCGGGACATTGTTCGACAGAGGACTCTAAAGCTTCTATGAAATTGGTCCAATTAAAATTAGAGAATAGCGTAAATTACGGAGACGCAGTGTTGTTAGGTGACTGCGATATAGAAGTCTTGAAAATGAAGGCGAGTGCAGAGACAATGTCACAACGGGCGTTGCAGAAAATGGAAGCCAAGAAATATGCCACGTCGATATTTAATCACGTAACGAAGGACAAAAACACTGCCGCTATCGTGGGCAAGGAGGAAGTGATAGCGGAATATGCCAAATATCTAAAGAGTTCGTCTCTAAATGTCATGAGTGATGCAAACTTTACTAAAGACGATAAAGTAAGTATGCGTTTCTAGAAATTATTGAACGTTAAAAAAATATGTTAATCAATATTTTTTTCATTTCTTGACTGATATTAATCTTCTGACACTATGGACTATGGACGCATATATACGTTTGATACATTTTTTCGACTTATACAGGATGTTTCAAAAGAACGTTAACACTTATATTTTTTCTTCATATAAGTATTAATATTTTTTTTTCATATAAGTATTAATATTTTTTTAAGCACCTTGTATTCTTGATACAAGCAACAGTTATCAACTGTTGCGATAGATATTCATATGCAATGTCCACTTACGTTAGCGACGATAATAAAAAAGATTGTCTCTATTTCCGTCCGTTGTTTTCAATTTTTCAAAAAGTTGGTTCTTTCACCAATTGATTTACGACAGCCAAAAATATTGCATCTTTTTTATCGTTTAGCTTTGAAATGTTTCACACTTAAAGAGTTAATAATGGAATAATATAGAATTTTTATGGTAATCATAGGTACGTCTCGTAATAGCGGACAACGATAAACATGCTATATCTCGGAGTTCCGAAATCGTAATGGACCACGGTTTCACATTATGCCATGTAAATATTGGAGAAGAGCAATTAATGAACGAACGGATAGAAAAAACAATTCATACTATTAATAAGTGGGTGGATAAAATTTGGCGAAGTATTGCAATGAATGGTCTTGCGTGTGTGTTATTTGGAGGACAAAATAATGGCGGAAGTGGTGCTTGTTTTTTAAATATCAAAAGGGAAATCTCGCCCATCACGTAAACTTAGAAGAACTTAGAAGACATTACGATTTGTTATTCGTATCAGTCTCTAATCTAGTTGAAATTAAAAAAAAATCTATTTCATCGACGTTATGACGTAATAACCCGAAAAAAGAATTGGGTCAGTCAAAAAGTTCGATTTGATTTTTAAATCAAATTTAAAGCTCCTGATTTATCATGTTGGGTTGTGACGTAAGAAATGTGAAATAACGCGTTGAAAATTCTTTTTTTTAAGTAAAAAGATATTTATATGAAAGAACACTTCAGATCGCTTGGATATATTCTTGTAAAATGTTCCGAAAACTGTCCTTTTCTCTTGATAGTCAATAAATAGCTGTAAAATGAATGTAGCAGAATTGAGAAAAGATAGATTAAAAAGAAAGATTGCTTGATAAGTTAATTTTAGGGATATTTACTATCAAAGGAAAACGATAATTTTGGAAGCATTTTACAAATATGGTTAAGCAATCCAAAGTATTATTTCATACAAATATCTTTTTACTTGGAAATAGAACGTAAGAATTTCAAACATGTGTTTTCTCGCTTCTGATGTCATTAGTCAAGAGTTCCGCGGCAAGTAGTCAGGAGTCTTAACTTTAGTAACTTCTTACAACTGTGGTCATTTAATATTTATTATATTTAATAATATTATACTAAATAAAAAGTGAAGTTATACCAAATAAATTTTATACTAATTTATCTTTATTCCGGTAATTTCGTGTAAACGATGGTATGTTAACTAGTATGATACATCTTTTTGATGCGTACTAGCTTCGTATATCGTTTACGCGCATCGCCGAAATTAAGATAATTAGATAGAATTATTATTTGATAGGCGTATCAAATGATCACAAAGAATGCAATCAAACAACTTATTATACTCAATAAAGCAAATTATTCATCTCAACTAAATAATCGCGATCCTGTGGATCCTATGATGCCTATAATTCTTATGCCCATTTCTACCAACTTTGGTTAACTTAACCGGCTGGTTATTCCAACGGAATTGACCAATCGCATCTATCAAGTCTGACTACAATGTGATTGATCAATTCCATTGGAATAACCAACTGGTTAAGTTAACCAAAGTTGGTAGAAACGGACATTAATTAATTGTATTGGTAATATTAGTATTGTTCCAACTTCTTGGTAAGTTAACTGATAGTTAATTATATGTGTGTCTTTGTCTAAGTTGAAGGAGAACAGATATATGATTTAATCATCAGTTAACTTACCAAACAGTTGGAAAAACCTGCCTATCGTAGAAAGCGGTCGATTTACTGTCGAAAAAGGTAAAATATCGAATCGGACTTTTTGACCAATCTAAAAACCACCTGTCACTCTGTATAGAAATTTGTTTGCTAGGTATTGTATAAATAATTACATCATTAATAAACATTTTTATAATTTTTATTTATTATATGTTCCATTTATATATCCGAACAGAGATTAGATTGTTAAGATGTAACTTGACACTACATATGATTTACTTTAATGCTTTAAAACGTTTTTTTATTTATCCAGAAATAAAAAAACAAACATAAAATTCCATGAAGCATATTAAACAGCACAGCTCGAAATACAACATTGAAAAATATATAAAATGTTTTCAATATTATTTTTTAATAATATTGATCTGATTACAATATTTAGAGCATGTAACATATAACATAAAATGCTTAATTTAAACTTACGGGAATTACTATGATCTATTACAATATTGTAGTCTAACAAAAAAATATTATTATAAGTTTAGTAACACTAAAATGGAATTCAAAACGCATTATCAGAAAATCCATCTTTTGCAGATTTTTGCACTGCATGCTGCTTTTGTAGGTACATCAAATAAGAAGAAACAGGTTCTCGGCTATTCTTATTCAGCATACGTTGTTTATACGATATTATTGAATTGATCGCTTTCGACGACTGTTTCTTAGGCTTCGACATATTTACTATAGCGAATTGCGTGGTACCACCGTTGGAACTCAACGGAACGAAAGTTCTATTCTTCACCTTCGTTTCGAGAAATTTGGGATTATTCATCGATAGTGACGGCATGACTTGCTCTGTATTTTTCGAAAACTTTCGTTTCTTCACTCGTGTTGGTACATCCAAGAGTTTGTCGATTACATTGTCTGGAAGACGTTTCAAACCACCCGTAGATGACGGTAGAACCTGCTTCTGTTCCTCAAGATATATTTCTGGTTTCTTTCTCTTAATAGGAACCACTGCAACTTGCTCCTGAATCATATTTGCATTATCTTCTTGCTGCTTCTTCTTCTTCAGTTTTTTATGGAGTTTAATACGTTCTGTAGCAGACTTGATGGCTTCCAACGCTTCACTTCGCGCTTTGATAAAAGCAGCATTTTTAGATTCAACCGTTTTTGACAAAACGACATTTTGCAATTCTGATTTTTCGGATTCCGTTTTTTTAGCAGATTTTGATTTGGACGATTTCAAAGTTTCAGTTTGAGATGATAGAATCTTTTCTTTCTTCTTTATCTTCTCTTGTTCCTTCTCCTTTTTCTTCTTTTTTAATGATTTCTTCGGCAAACTATACTCTGTACTGTCTTCTATTTTTTGCTGTTTATCCTTTTTTTTTGCAAACGTGATATATTCTGTATTTAGAGTATCGTCACATTCCACGTTAGCTACAATTTGTTTTCTCTTCTTCTTCTTCTTTTTGTGTTGTTCTTCATTTTGTACTATATGTAACGTTCCTTTTTCTTTCCTGCGAATATTCTCTTGCTGTATATCATCTTTTGCATTCTCGTCTGTTTTAATAACATGAATTTTCTTTTTCTTTTTCTCAATAAGCCGACATGTATCTTTGCGAATAGTATCTTCTGCAGTTAACACTTGACTAAGCTCAATATTCTCCTCTTTTTTCTTCTTTTTCTTCTGCTGCTTAGAAATATCTGATTCTGTAGCATCTTGAGGTACGTCATTTTCCGTGATATTCTCGTTCGACGTTTCTTCCACTTGCTTCTTACGTTTTTTCTGTTTTCGTTGACTAGGCTCTTGTATGTTATCATTAAACAGCGCTATAAGATTAGGTATTTCCTCGTCGCTATCCACTTTATTTGTTTTCTTTTGTGCAATATTACTTTTTTCTTTGGATAATCGTCTCTTCTGCAGTTGACTAGTCTCTGCACTTAACTTCAATTCTGGAGCACTTTCATTCAACTTTTCTTTCCTTAGGTCTCTTATTGTAGGCGTTTCGGTGTGAGTAACGTTCATCGTTTTGCTTAGTTCAGTCATTTTGGACATCGGTCTCGCTTTTTCTACTCTTTCCAGTACATCAGAAGGAAGGCTAGTATGTAATAATTTCTCTTTATTATTTGTATGCTTCGGTTCCTTGAAACTGAGATCTTTCAATATAGAATCCTTTCTCGACTTTTTTTTCTTATGCTGTGTCCTTTCACTCATGCTATTTAATTTCTCATCTACAGCTTCCAAAGCTCCCAAAGCCGTCACAGTTGTTTCAACATCATTCGCGAATTCTTCTTCAGAAGAATTAATCTTTGGCGTACTGCATTTCACGGGTATATACACCAATTTTTTTCTATTTATTTCAGATTTATTTAATTGTTTTATCGAATCCTGCTCTGTTTCATCTACGTATGATTTTCTCTTCTTCTTAATCGAGTCAGATGTATCGATAATATTAGTTTCTTCAACTTTCTTCGTGTGTGATTTCTTGACTTGAATATCTTCCTTCTTTTTTGGTTGACAAGCCATAATATGTTCAGTAGATATTTTCCTCTTATTTTTACCGATTTTAAGTGACTTATCGAAGGTATTATTTTTACTCACATTTATCTTTGTTTCGACAGATTTTTCCTCTTTATCTTCTTCTGCATCTGTGCTATCATTTTCTTTTGTATCCTCCACTTGCTCATCGTCTACATTTTTATCTTCTACTTCCTCTTGTTCTGCAGCTTCAACCTCCTCTTTTTCTTGTTCGTCATCTTCATCGTTCTGTTCTCCCCTTCCCTCTTCTTCGTACTTCTCACCTTCTATCGCATCATCAGCGACTATAAAATCAGCAAGATCCGAACCGGTGTCATCAAGATCTGAAGATTCTGATTCCGAAGTTCTACACTCATCATAGGGGACATTATTATCAGAATATTCTTGTTCCGATGCATCTAGATTATATTCTCTTTTAATATCGGAATTTATACTGCCTATACCATCGTCATCGTCATTATTGGTATCACTCTCTAACTCGAATAAGGAAGCTATATATTCGCAGTGTTTTAACGAATCTTCAGTACTATCGCTTAATTTACTTGAGTTATTTGAAACTGATCCTGCGATTGCTAACGTAGAACAATTTAAATTACTCTTCTTATGCTTTAAATCTTTATTTTGCATATCTTCGTCATTTTCATCAGAATCTCCTACATTTTCATCTTTATCCTCTTTACCGCTTTCCTCGCTTGACAAACTCTTCTTGCTTCCAGATTCGACTTCATCAATATCTACGTCCTCACGTTTCTCCAATTTACCCAAAGATCGCATTTTCTTCTTCAAATTTCTTTTTGTATATGTTTCTATACTATCTAGTTCTTCCTCTGAGTTATTTGCTTGGGATTTACTCACAGAATTATTTTGTATGATTTGGAGGCTCTGTCTTGAAGGTGTTTCTTTTGAAGATTTATTCAATGATACTCGTTTTTCGGTTGATTTTCGTAAAGATGTATTTTTACGTGCTTGTAAACTTCTATTTAATTTATTTGAGTCATCTCCAATTTCATCGTCCGATTCATCCGATGTCTGTCCCGATTTATTTAATCTAGAAGCACCTCGACTACTACTTCTATTTAAGTATTTTTCCGATTTGTTTAAAAATTTGTCGATGGAGTTCGAGCTATCTACATCTATACATATAGTTGAAGAATCTTCATCTTTTGATACAGATTTTCTTTTAATCGATGATTTTCGTGTTTTAATTGGTTTAACTGCTTTTTCTTCTCCTTCTTTTTCTTCATCTTCCTCTTCTTCGTCATCATCATCGATATTTATTAATAATGCTTCGTTTATGGCGGACAATCTTTTTTTACTATTGGCTTGTTCAACGTCTAATTTACTCTTCAACAAAACAGTATCATCGGAATCATATTCGAAACATTCCTTATCCCTTACTGCTTTTATGCTTTCAGCCGCCAACCATGCTTGTTTGTCTACCAAAACAAGATCACATTCGGCTTCGCTTTCATTTTCTACCGAAATAAGATTGGATTTATCTTCGACAGCTTTTTTTGTTTCAGCTACATCTTTCTTCCATTCGTCGGCCGGAATATCTCGAAACATGCTAACAATGTCGACATCAGATTTATCGTCATCGATTTCCATATTTTCTGAATCTTCTTGATCTTTATCTTCATGATCCAATTGTGTACTCTTTTCTCCTATGTTCAAAGCCGATGTATTTTCATTCTCTCGCTGTGTTGAAATCATGGTGATTTTCAATGAAGTATTCATCGATTCTTCTTTTCTAGACATATCTGCTGTGGATTCCTCAGAAACTTTCATAATATCACCAAACTGTATATTTTTAATCACTGAATTATCTATGTTTAAATCGCTAGAGGAAGAATTGATCGTCTTCGAAATAGCACTGGATGATTCCGGAGTTGATTTCGTTATATGATCGGATAAATTCTTTATCTGTTCTGCAGACTCCAATAAATCGTCTCCTGTTTTATCTTGAGTTATAGAGGCCACTTTATCGGTGGATTTATTATCACAAGTTTCAACATCTATTGACTCATTTGAATGATCCAAATTGGATTCTACCATAGTCTTCATCGATTCGACATTAGACGACTTGTTATCTTGGGACGCATTTGATTCTTCCAACTCTAATACTATTTCACTATTATTAATTGAAGAACATGAGCTCCCTCTACTATCAATGGTTTTATTACAAGTCTCCATAACACTTCTATCTAATTTATTGGCCATTTTTGTTGTATTTTCATCAGTTCTACTTACTGTTTCAACAAATATATGATCGTCGATCATTTCTTCAACTAATTCTGTATCTTTAATCAATGAAACTTGTTTAACTGTATCATTCGTAGTTGATTTTTTGTCTACATCATGCACCAAGCTCTGTCTTTTAGTTGTATCGTCTACTGAAGAACTATCTAAATTTTTCTTCTCGTGAATTATAATCGGATTTAAAGGATCTGTAGAAGAATCCGTTATTTCCTCAATGTTATCAGTACTTTCTTTCAATACGGCGGTATGTTTCACTACAGTTTCTGTAGATTCTCTCGAGTGACGGCGTTTACTTAAACTTGACTCGTTCCTCGTACATTTAATTTCTTTCTCTGTTAATGATTTATTCACAAAGACTGTAGTCAAAGATTTAGTATTTAACGATGTTACGTTAGTAATAATAGGTCCTGTGTTCTTTTCAGCTGATATATCATTAATAATATTTAGTGTTTGATTTTCTTTATTGCTTGGACTTCTTTTCGGCCCAACAGAAGTTTCAAATATATTTTCAAGCCTAACTGTTAATTCTTTCGTAGGCGATTTTTTGCACATATCTATCTGCGAATCTTCAACTTCTGTCAAATATTCTTCATTTTCAATTATGCTAGATTTATCTCCTTTCGTATCTTTTTCAACGTTTGTATAATTAATTTCATCATCTATTTCAATTTCAATATCAGATGATAAATCTTTTGTGCAGCTGCTTTGTATCTTATCTATATAATAAAAAATAAAAAATATAATTTTAAAAAATACGTATTATCATTCTAAAACTTCATATCTTAAACTTACACAAACTTAAATAATTACAATAAAAAAACAATTCTTCCAATTTCTTAAAGAACATAGATCATATATGTAATTTTTCATATTATTAACATATTTGTTAAAAAATTTAATTATTTACCAAAACTTTCCTTACCTGCTATTGTTACATCTGTATGTTTACTTTGTATTTCATTGTCCGCCAATTGTTGAGATGTTTCATCTAATGTTATAGTTAATATCGTTTCGTCTAAAAATTGTAAAGTACATGTAAAAAATAAAAGATAAATTTTTCGTTTAACAAGTTTAAAGTACATATAAAGATAAATATGAAATATCTTGAGAAATATTTCTATATTATTTTTTTTAATATATTCTACACTCCTTTATTGCTTACCACCGCTATTGTCGTCTTCAACTTTGTCCTTGCTTGTATTATCTATTTCTTTAGCCTTCTGATTTTCTTTAGAACATGCTATCTCATCCACTGCAGAATCGTGACCTGTATTTATAATAAATACACACACACACACACATACATACATATATATACATAT